CAGGTGAGTGATCGAGCTTGTAATCGTTTTCTTGCAGTGCTGTGATGTCAAACAGCTTAGCTTGTTGTGACTGCCTTGTGTGTGGGAAGCAAACGCGGGAATGAACTTCTTGTCAGTTGCCATAGTTTGCTCTGTTTTGATTCAAGCAGGTTGATCGATGGTTTGTCTTGTCCAGATACTTGCCTGCCAAGTGGGAAGAAAAACTCGTTCTAGATGTCTTCCAGACACACTTCAGGTTCTTGTTTCATTTTCTTGTGGACTTCTTCTGCTCTTCTTGTTTGCGCATTGCAAGAGGCTCTTTGTGTTGAAAAAAACCTTGTTTTGTGTTATTTCGCAGAGACTGCACCATTGGACTTGTGCATGGATTTCTTTCTATCCAGTCCGAAGCTCGCTTATTGAATCTCCTCTTCAAGCCATATGCGATGGTGGAGCTAGGCAACTCGTCGTGGAAGCACTCTGGGAGGGTTAACTGGGAGAATGAAGACCTCCACACAATTACGGGATTGTCAGTGATTCATATGCTTCTTGCAGAAAACCAAGGAGGGCAAAACTGGTCGAAGCCAAGGGTCCGGGAGATTGCTTGTCCGAGCAACAGGTGGCCTGGTTTCTTATTCTCTCGGATGCCAGGCACGCTATGCATGAGCTCCTCGGCCTCCTCCAGCCCTCCAGACTTGGTGAGAACGTCCACAAGGCAATGGTTGAGATAGAATGACTCACTTGTAGCGCTATGCCTCGTGGAACATCGCTCACCTTAAAGGAAGGATTGCGTTCCAAGGAATCTGCTTTAGATTGGAAGATGAATGGCTGAATGTTTCCATTGGAATCTAACGATTGAGAAGATCTTCTTTCAAATAGATGTGATACGAACTCACTTCTGGTTTCTGTTTTTTCTCTTGCAGGCATAGTCATAACTGGTGGCATTTAGAGCTTTGTCATCTAGAGGGTGGTCCAGCTGAGAACGTGCTACGCATATTTGACACCCGTATATGGGGAGACCACGAAAGAGCTGAAAGGGATACATTTGCGGTAAGCTCTCTTAACAGAAAAATCCAACACTAAGTAATCAATAATGTGCAGGTGAGCTTAAACGCGTTGGAATTTTTGCTGTGTCTTCAAGTAAACAGATTTGGAGATCACATCACGAAGCTCTTTGTGGACAAGGTACGTGGGCTGGCGGCGATTTTTGAACTTATATTTTCCTTACTTTTTGTGTTTAGTCCACATGATTTTCTGGTCCTTTGGTCACTGGTTCAAAGCTCTTTATTGCAGAGGCCAAACAATTACTCTCATATTGAATCAACGGTGAGAAATGTTGTCAAAGTGACCTCACTCTGATTCTCATCAGAGCATAAACGATCGGTTCTACAGAGGAGATTCACCAAACGATAGCTCA